ATATTTGCTTGGTGCGAATACCAGACAGAACGAATTCCTTTAACGTAAAATGGATATCCGAGTAAAAATTGTACAGGTGTGGAAAGGATAAAAAGGATTAAAGTGGCCACTTCAAGACCGGGAACCAATTGATATTCAAATGCCATGCGAACTCGGTTGGTTTCTGGTAAGGCCAACATGAATATCATGGCAACAATAAAGGTTGGTACGGCAAAAAATGAGGACAAAATAAATCGTCTCAGAAGTTTCCTTTGTTCTGCTCTGGCACGTTTCCGTATGTTACTTTCACCTTCTCGGTTGAAAGAATTTTTTTTTAATAAGTGAGCTTCGAACCCTATCTCTTCGATTGCTTTGATTATGTCACGTGCACCGATTTTACTAGAGTTGTATCTTACGGAAGCTTCAGATGTAAGCAGATTAACATTCGCCTTAATCACTCCAGGCAACGATTCAACTGTTTGTTGAATGGTATTCACACAAGATGCGCATGACATTCCATAGATTGAGAGCTTTGTGACTGTACTTTTAACTTCAGCATTGGTAGGAGTTATATTGATGGTATTATTTTTCGAACTTGGCCTATTCGATTCCGGCATTTCCTCTTTGATATTGGTATCCTCCACGTCATATCCGCTGTTACATATGGCCATTTTTATTTTTTCAATGGAAGTCTTCGACTTATCGAATTCAAGTATGGCGTTGCTTGTGAGTAAATTAACACTAATTGATGGGACCGATACACCCGATGTTTTCTCCAGAGCTTGTTCGATAGTCCTAACACAACTTGCGCAGGTCATCCCTGACAAGGATATGGTTGCTTTGACTATCTGAGGTTCTGAAGAAACATCTTTTAACGGTTTTTGCTCCATTTTATTATTATAACAATTATATTACATGTAATATTTTTTCAACAAAAGGAATTTTTTTTTAATATGAACTCGAATCGCTTTAGTATTTATACTTTTTTTACATATTTAGAGGTTGCCCTTTAATTTAGAATTGAAAAAAATTTTGTAAGCAACATAAAAACTTCTTGAAAAATGGCGCAAGTAATATAATTAACTACAAGAATATAATTTTTATCTACAGTAAATCACAATTTTGCGCGATTTTTGCCAAAAAACCATCAGATTTCCAGATTAAGTCATTGAGGTCATTGAGGAATTCCGGAGTTTGATTGTTAATTTGATTTCTCCTATAGACGGAAAAAACTGCAGAAATTATTATCATTACATAAGTATATCAATGGTTCAAACATGCAAGTACTGTATATATTCGTTTATTCGCATTATTAAGCAAGCTTGGTATGGTAAATATAACAGTGTTTAAGTTACCATTTTGGGGTGCAGAAAATGTTCCCCGTGCGTCACTCATACAGCATCCTTACTGCACTTGTGCAGCGCCTGTGCAGGTGTGCTTTCAGTGAAATTTCCGAATTATATATGAGTCACATGATCGACTCAGTGATCGACACGTAACGAATTTTACAAATTTCGCGAAATCGCGAGAAATTTTTAATTAAATCTCGCGGAACCAATATTGGTATAAATTAAATTTTTGCTTAATAAAAATATAATTTTTTTTTACAATTATTTATTTAATAGTATTTTTAAATATATTAATTTTTTGCCAAAATATTTTTAATTATTGAAATTTTCTATTTATAGTAAATTTATAGAAACTCAATAAATAAATCATTATAATTCTACAATATTAGAGTAACAATGGTTCCGCGAGATTTATTTAAAATTTCTCGGCGATTTCACAAAATTTGGTACGTGTCGATCACTATAGTTAATCACGTGAAATACATACGATAGACATAATTCGGAAATTTCACCCGAATGCACACCTGCACAGGTGCTGCACAAGTGACGCACGGGGAGCATTTTGCTGCACCCTAAAATAGTAACTTAAACTTTGCTGGTAAATATATACGCAAAAATGACTCATATGACGCATTTCAATGTGCAGAAGATCTCATTGTTAAAGATCACAAGGCATTGTCTTCGGGTATTACAGTCAAATTCTGTGCTCAAGGTCAATGGCAAATGCAGTTTTTTCAATATTTCTAATAATTTCCCGAAAATTCCTGAATGCTTTGTAAATCATATTAATGTGACTATGTCTAACCATCGCACAAGAGCTTTTTCAGATTTCGCTTACAATGTATAGAGATTTTGGGAAAGTTAAATTAACAAAAGATTAATTAAGGTCCTTTCGTTTAATTATAATTAATTACCAAGAGGGTTGTGATGAATCTAATTTTCACATTGGCCTATGCAATCAATCATTTAATAATGACATTCGGAAAAAGCTCACCGTTCAGACTCACCAATGAACCTTTGCATGTTGCCCTCAACATTTAACAATTTCAAGATCATTAGTTGCATTCAACCCCTTTTACGATGATTTCAGGGTCACCGTATTTCCGCAACCGAGATGTGGAAAAAGGATACTAGTAAGTTGTAAGGAGCTCCATGAATGAATATGATTCTTGTCAATTGTTAGATTACGGTATCTGGTGAGATCCATTGTGTAATCAACGAAGACAAGTTGAGATTTATTATGATTTTATGAAGTTCAGAAGGGAGCAAGGGATTTCGAGGAAGATCCATGGCATAATACTGTATGTAGTGAACAATTCAACTGCTCCTTAAAGTTTGATCGGCCTCCGCCTTTTTGCGCTTATAAATATGATAATGGTTTTGAGAAATTTCGAACCATTGTTAGCCAGATGTAATATGAAATGACTTTAGAATATGGTAACTGATGACCTATGCAAGAATAGACAAATTACAAATTTCTTTGATAGCGCGAGTTAGTTACTAGACTTCAAATATAGTTAAACTATCCAACCTTTTTGTAAGACTATTTAACTATATGCTAGGAGGCATGCTGTAACTTCAAGTGATCGATTATGGCGGTTGAGGATACGAACCTTTATTATCTCTTCAATTTTTCTCTTGGCCTAGGACTTTGTTTTTGCACCTGAGAATTTGATAACAATGATACAATCAGACATTTAAGGAATTAATTCAAATGTTTAGAAACATGATACGCGTGTGAAATGAGTTTGCGTAAGAAATATCTCACTTTTACGTGTACTTTGCATCGAGAAATATGATAACCATAAGATGGTTCAAGAAATAAAGCACGTGAAAATTAATTATAATTCTTCTTTACAATTGATTTTATATCATATTTATAATGTTTGCAAAAAATTTTTAATGGATTACAGTTCTCGAAATTTTTGCAATTTTAAAATTTATATTTTTAAAAGTTTTATTGTTTATATTTAAAAACTTTAATATTGTCTTTTTTTTTCACACATTTAATTTTTTTATATATTTTTCTCTTATAAAAACAAATTTAATTTTTTTGTTTTTTAAAACTATTAAATATATAATTAAATATATTTTTTTATAGATTTGTTTTTTTTATATAATATAATAAATTATAACTAATAAAACCCTTGAATTATTTTATTTTATAAATAACTTCAATATTTAAGAATATTTATAATATTTTGTTTTTGTTTTTTTTAAACTTATTATTTTTTAATCAAATATTGATTTTTTTTTATTTATTTTTACTTTTAAGATTTTAATATACTTTTCAATAATAGTTTTCATTACATTAATTATATTAATTATAATATTAAATATTATAAACTTTATAATAATTATTTAAAATTTTTATTTTGGCTTGCAAATATTCTTGTATTCTTTGAAAGATAAATATAAGATAATTCTAAAAGGACATCTTTTAGGAGCCTAAGTAACTAATATCAATACTTATTAAATAAATTATAAAAAGAAATTAAAGTTACAAGTTCTTTTTTTTTGCTTTAAGTCTATTTCATATCTAAAATATTTCAATAATATTATATATACACACTTAATATACTATACAACTTTTATATATTAAGAAACAGTATTTTATTTTTTTAGAGTTTTTGTTTTTTACTGTTTTTTTTACTTTTATTTAAAAATTGTACTGTGTTTAACTTTATTTTTTAAAAAGATTTATATTATTTGTATTATTATAATAACAATTTATTAACTTATTAAAACAATTTATATAATTATAAATTTAACTAATTATATTAATAAAAAATCAAAACAATATGTAATCTACTAAACTAAAAAAATATAAAATCAATACTTTATATAAATTTCAATAAAATTATCAAAATCTTATACTTAAACCAAAATTCTATTACATTATTTTCTTATATTTACAAACTTAATATTTATTACTCTTAATTAAATAGAATCAATATATAGACAAGATTATATAATATATAAAAATTAAGAATTAACAATAGAATAGTTACATCTATTTTAGCTATTATTTTAAATTACTATATTTTTTTATCAATTTTTATCTTTATCTTTTATAAATTCAATAATTTTTGTTTTTTTAAATACAAGGTAAATCAAAATTATTTAAAAAACTAATACAACTAATTTGTATATAGTTAACTAATCAAAATTAAACAAGAATAAATTATCAAACTTTATAGATATAAAAATAAATCTTTAATAAATTTTGCTTTAGATTCTTAATTTCTTAACTCTTTTTATATAATGTATAATAAAATTGAAATAACTGGAGCTACCCTTTTAACAAATGAAAAATAACAATATTTTTTAAAAATCAAAATAACTATAATGCAAAAGAAATATATATAGCAATTAAAATTCTTTTCTTAATTATTTATTTTAAACTTAAAAAACTAAATAATATAGAAAATATTAAGTAGTAAAAAGAAGCTAATCATTTAAAAGTAGTTATGAAAGAAATATAAAAATTTAAAATTTTTTTTTATATTTATAAAGAGTTTGATAATAAAATTAAGTAAATAATTTCTTAATTAATTCTTATATAATATTTAAAATTTCTTGACTATAAAACTAATTTTTTCAAAACAGTACCAATACTTACTTATCTTCAAAAGAAAAAATAATTATTGTAAGTCAAAAAACACTTGAAAGATAATTAAAATAAGATTTTTTTTTATAAATAAAATTAGTTTTAAATTTTTATATATTACTGAGCAATATTACAAGAGTTTATAACCATTTTAATAAGTTTTAAAAAATAGTACAAGAATCTTTACATGAGTAAATTTAATAAAGTAAATAAAGTTTATTTATTTTGTTTTAAAAAGATAATAATAATTGAATTCTATTTAAGTATCTTAGAAAAAAATATTATGGATATTAAGGTCTTGATAGGAAAAATATCCATTTTAACAAAACAATAATTTAAAACATATAAGTGATCTTGCAAAATTATATTTCAAGTCATATATTTTCAAAGTTTTTGAATGGCCAGTTGATAGTTCAGATCTAAATCTGATAAAAAATCTATAAAATATAATAAAAACAAATATAAAAAAAAATGTTACAGAATTAAATAAATTAAAATATTTATTAAAAAATATATATAATATAATTTCAAAAATTATCTTAAAAAATATAATTAAATCTATACAAGTCAAATATAAGTTAGTAATAAAAAATAAAAATAATTATATTAATTATTAAAATTTTTTAAAAATAAATTACAAATTCTTATCTTTTAAATGAGTAGTTTTTTATTATGGTTGATTTAATAGTTATAGTTAAATAATAAAGATTTTTCTAAAAAATTTTAATTTACCTTATATTTTTATACTTTATAATAAATTATTTCTTGATTTTTTTTTTAAAAGATTTTTAAATAGATTTACTAATAATAATAAATTAATATATATAATAATATATCTTTAAATTTAAAAATTGATTATATAACAATAAATTATTATTTATTTAATTAATAAAATCTTAAGAATTATTTTATTTAATATTTTATTTATTTA